TATTCCTAACACTTCCGTACCATTTCTCCCCTTTTATAAGTGTGAACATTCTTATCAACCAACTTCAACAAAAGCAGAAGTTCCTGACACTTACTTTTACTTTCATTAGAAGGACGTTTGTCTATCGATTGTCTCCGCGTTAGTTTTCACTATTCAGCGTCAAATGTCTCCGAATTTAGTAGTCTTTTTATTCAAAACAGGTTAGTCTTTTCTGCGCTCCTCATTTTGGTGCTTTGTGAACGCTACAAGGAAAATGAACACTCACTACACTGTTATAGAATCCTATCGTCGCCGTAAAATGTGATGGTAGTAACATCCGTGATTTATTTCCAGTGAATTACATATTACAGATGTCGCCTAAGTGAAATAGGGATATGGATCACATATTCGTGTTCACAGATAGCAGCGACAAATGTTACTGTCGAGATGAAAATAACCACAATATAAAAAAGGTATGTGAGAATCAAGAGGTGAATTTAGTAAAAACGACAGATTGAGCGGAGGAATATATTTCATTTCATTTAGTCTCTCATCACCTACTCTACTCTAACATACAGCTTTTACATCAAGAGCTTTTACCAACCAAGTAGTTATTACAGTTAATCAGTTTCAGTGATAGGGAAGTGAAATTACTAGGTTAAAGGCAATCGAAATAATTGAGTAATGCTTGTTAGTAACAAGACATAAGTTTTAAAGGATAGGTGAAAATTAAATACGGGATTGGAGATGAGTTGATTCCTAGGCGTTAGCAAGACATTATTGGATAATCAAGAAATTTGTGAGACAATAATGACTAAGAAGAATAAGATGACCAGGTAGAACTACGTAAAACACAAGACAGTTAATATAATTAGCTAGAGTTGTCAAAATAAGAAAGTCAAAAGATAGTTATAATTGTAGGTGAAAAATGGTTTTTAAAATCTTTATACATACTACGTGGTTGACCATGGCGAAGAAAAGAGCTGTACAAACTTGTTTTGAACACCTAAATTTAACCTGTTAAGATGAATTTCGATTACCTCTTCTGCATGTAGAAGTCGCACTTGTAGACCATGTGGTAGGCTGGTCGATATACGATAAATAGCTTTAAAAACTTTGTTAGAGTTAACTTGGTATCCAATATCGATGAGGTAACCGAGCAATGAACTGCGCATAGCTTTATTCGGACCTTTTCCAAGCTGAGATGGGAGGTTTTTTAAGAAATGCATAAATGGGAATTTGGAAACAAATGAAATCGAATTGAGTGAAAATCAGACTTTACGCTCGAAGTACTGCATTTACTTTTGTTCTCCGAAATTGCGTTAAATGTTTGAAACACCTAGAGCTTTCCTTATGCTTGGTTAGTGTGTTATTTTTCGTTATAAATGTGGAATTCCTCCTATCTAAACATCTACGTTAGTTTCAATATTTTTATTAAAAAGACTGGCTTCAGTAACCATTAGATACGTAAATACCCGACTAAGTAACTAACTCCAACAACCATTTAGAAGCATACATTGTCAAATAACGCAACTGTTGCTGATACTGTCCTCAAGAAAACAGTTACATATGTGCATGGAGAACGAGGGTGACCTGCAAGTTCATATGTCTTGTGGAAACAATATTCCTAATCGGGTGTGCATATGATGACAAAACATAAGTAAATGAAATACTCATTATAAGACCTTTGGAAAACGACACTGATTCCATTGATTTATCCTTTCATTTAACTGGGGTAGCTCCTCACTGTGCGTCGGTGGCACAGTGGTTAGGACTCTCGCCGACCATGCACATGGTCCGGGGTTCGATCCCCTACCGACGCACACCCGATATCTATGGTCGGCCTGCAAAATTTGGGCTACCGATATCCATGCTGAAAATGCCATACTTATACTGAAAATACAGTGTGGCATCAAGCTGTAATCAAAGTAAAAAAAAAATAAAAAAATCCACGACGATTGTAATTAGAGCGCTACACATATAAAGCTAAGTACGATTTATATGGCATTTAAGGAGCTGGAAAAGTTTGGTGAGACAGCCACGTTGCACTGATGCAGAGGGTATCTTGATGAACGTTGTCTTGTAAAGAGAAAACAAAAGAGATCTTAACCGGGAACGAAAAAGTGTATTGCTTGAAACTAAGGTGGCTAAACGTTTTAAGGCCAAGATTTTGTCCCTTAAATTGTCTTTTAGTCACCTCCAAGGTAACATATCTATTTTAACGCTTATTCGTATTCTAGACATTTGCGCTTCTTTAGTTTGAGCTGTATACTTACGGTCGAAATCGTCACGACATTCTGTGAAGTTTTTTTATCAATTATGATGGTAAAAACTAGTATAATTTGGAAAGTCTGATGTCTGCACAAATGAACTGGAAACTGTGCATCATGTGCAATTAATACATTTACGTGGCAGAAGACCTTTGTGGTTAAAAACAAATGAACCAAGACACTCTCCTTTGGGAACTGACCGGTTGTTTGACAAAATTCATCAGTTTTAGTTGTCAAATCTTATGAAAAGGAAATAAATACCACGAAAATGTAATGAATAGAGATATTTGTCGGAGCAAACAACCAAATAGAGATAAGTGAAGGTTCTCCAAATCCTGTTTACGTTAAGGATTGAATACACTTGCCCCTTGACGAATAGTAATTAACCTTGTCACTGTCATCAAACACTGACTCTTAGAATCCTGAGCACCTCAAACATAAAATCCATACTAACCTACGTAGATTAGGTCAAAAGTCAGTTAATTCATAGATTGCCACCAAATTTTGTTGGGGCCAACCACAACTCTTCCCCAATTTATTCATACTGCAACTTACATTGTTCATTGCGGAAGGGGGTTGCTCAACGTGTCTAATGCACGTGATAATAGCTACAAGCATAAAACAAGCTCACTGGTTGACTTTCATTAAAGGAACGACGTTTGTAGTATACATGTGTTCAGGCTGTACTGCTATTCTGAGTATTTTGTCCTAAGTGACATCAATCTCCCACAATAAATTACTTAAGTGCCATGTTTCTTGCAGTCACTCAAACTATTATAACTAATTTAGAACCCCCTTCCTAATTAAGCACATTGAGTTACGAGTTACTCCCCATTGGAAATGCCTTTTCTTTCGCTTTAACCATCTTTCTTTGTAAAAGATTTTCTCGGGTCACGTTAAAACCGATTTTACTCATCATCTTCAATGCTCACCTGGATCAAATGCAATAAAATGAAGTTTAGACGATAGTTGTCAGTAACATTTAGCGATGTTTCCTTGTCAGATTACTTTACCTAACTTTATGTATGGTCGAAGGTACCCTACTCGAAACCTAGTCTCAGACATTCCCACTAACTGACTGACTGATTGAGAATTGCTAACATTAATTCAAGGTATTCCGCGTTGTTGCATCACCAGTCTTGACAACTATATTGCAAAGTTGAGTGGTACAATTGGATCAGCACCAAAGCTAAGAACTAAACATTTGAGAATAAAACACGTCAGTGTTTTGAGTCATAGACCGTGTTGAAGATTGTATGCCAGGAAGTTTGAGGAGAATAAGGCTCTTTTAAGGACTTCGACAAAATTTACTATAACTTTGGTAAGTATTCTGAAGCCATCTAGCGAATCACGTTGCAAAAATTAGATAAAGTGGGATGTTTCTTGTGATAGAAGTTTTTGAGGGGAGACTATTAAGTAATTGAGAAGACTTTATTTTGTAAAGCATTGCTGTGTATCTCTTGAAGCGATTAGCATTCCCCAGCAACATAAATTACTAAACACACTTTCGTAGTTGTAAGTGAATACCGTCCTCACAGGCAGTATCAGCACTTGTTCACTGAGGTTACTATCGTTTTGTAGTCATGTATATGTATTGATAAGATCACGAGCAGCATACTGCGCTCGAAATGCCATCCAGCTATTAAAATATGTCAAATTCAGTTATCTAATACTGCAACATCAATTACAGCCAGTGAAAAAACAAACTTTTGAAGAGATGGACTTGTAATCTCTGACGAGAATCCAAAAAACAACTGGATTGTTCCAAATAAACTGCACGTAATTTGAAACAAAACCAAATGGTTACAGACGGAAATATACTGATAACAGACTGCTGACGAACTGCAAGATAATTGTACTAACAAAAAATATATCAGATAAACATGGTAAATACAAATATGAGGTCATCTGACATCCAAACAATAAGAACATACTGTCTTAACACAAAATCGCTTGCACTTAACAGAAATGTGCACTCAGACAGGAAAAAGTACGACAGTGCAATGAACCACAAAGAGCCTAATTAACAAAAAATGCAAAGAGGTATATGAATTACATGGAACTACTCACTGCAAACTTTTGAGACAATGACGCTATCAGAAGTTTTAACCGGCAGTTTATCAGAATAGTAGAGGCAGAAGTTAGCCCGTCAAAGCACGATGAAGTGAACCTGTCGAATTCCTCCCTCTGCCGTATGATATTATAAAAGATCTTGATTGGCTCCAAAGCATCACTGTTAGTTTCTAGTAAGTTGTCAATTTTTTGGGTGCCTACAGTGTGAAACTCTATTGTGTGAGAATTTCCGGGTGTTAACTTCAAGTATGAGGAGCATTTTGGTCTACAACATGAACCTCATTGCCCTCAGGACAGGTAAGTGTATGGTATTCCCCAGAAACTTCAAGGACGCGCTTGTCAGACTGAAAAAAACACCACTTACCAATTTTCCACCACCAATTTATGATACAGACCTATTAGTCCAGCTTTGCACTAAATATGATATCGTGATTTTGGACTGAACAGTTAACTACATTCAAAGTAAACTTTGTAACATTTTGAAAACTGATTTCATCTTCAAAATTTTTGAAACATTATTTATTTATCATGAATTATTGACACATAATACAGTTGTATAATTGTTGTCATTATGTTACCGCAAAAGTTTAAAAGCATCAATTGAGAATTGTACGAACCTACAGATGATTCCCCTTTCTTTAAATCATGCGCTAAACTTTCAGGCGCGGCCATCAAGTTATGGGTGAACGGCCTGCAGGTTTGTGCATTGTTGTATATTGTGTGATATGGTGTGTGCTTCTGTCTATATTTTTTTGGAACGCGTGTCCGCCTCTATTTTTAATCCTTTTCTCACATTACACAGCTTGGTAGCCATCAACATAACATTTTTCTGTATCTATACAGGTCACCATCACCAGGTCCCAGTACCCGTCCGGATACCGTTGTCCACTCTTCGTGCACAGCCAAGATCGCTTGGAAATATTGTTCCTGCCAACGTAAGTTATTTTTTGGAGTGAATATTTATATACAATGTCGTATAGCTATGTAATATGTTGACATGTAAATGGGTATCCATACACATTAGTCAAAATCGGGTATGTCACTCCTGGTTCCGTATGTGGATAAATGCAGTTTAGTTTTACTGCTGTGTCCATTACTTGTCCAGGCTAAGTCGGCCTTAAATTTCTAGTGGTTCCCCTCTATGTGAGTCTAAATTGTTGACCTTTGGTGAATAAATGATATAATATACATGTATAAATGTATATTTATAAAAAATTCATCAGTTCTACAAGTCCCTACATTTGTTTTATGTTGTTTGTGCAGTTATCCATGCCTACTCAGGACTGCTTGCTAACTATTTCAGTACTTTTGCATACACCAGTTTTATATTTATACGTACCAGTTAGATTTCATCACTGTCCATTCTACTTTTGTTGCTATGTTAGTGATGTTAACGTCACTCCAAAATATGAAAAAATGCGTACAACCATTACATTCAGTCTTTTCGGACAAGCCTAGCCTAGCGCATCGGGCAGTTCCATAGATGTCATCTACCAAAGGCATTCACATTGATACTAAATTCATGCAGTGTTCCCTTAAGTAATGCGCTATCCTTTACAATCTTGTTGCTTACATTCTGATTAGGATTTGAGTTCTTGTTATACCGTGCTCTAATCATGCTTGGTAAGACCGGATGCAGTAGTCAAATATTCAGAATATACATCGTCTCAGCGAGTCTGACACTCATTTTTTGAGAGCCTACAAAAGTATTCATTTGCCGCATATAATCAAATAATTGGTTATGATTTGCTCTGAGTTTGAACCCTTATGGGAAAACCCCAGACAACTCAGCTTTCTGACCTACTGGTTGCTATACCGTTAAATTTCACCATTACTTCCTTTAGAAATGGGCTTGAACGTAGTTGGCATGTCCGTCCAAAGTATTGTTATTGATAGGATTCTTGTCGTTTATGCAACGGGGGTTTCAGGCACTTGAATCATACTTCAAAATCTTATTGGCTAATTTCGTAGTCCCTACATAGTTCAAAATCACCATACCTATTTTTTATTTGACATTGTTACGTAAATCCAAGCTGGAATTACGTCTCGTTACATAAATTACGTTTCTCTTCATGTGACTTCGTAGGCCTTTATGTATTAATTTTTTTGTGTTTTTGTCACCCTCTCTAACGTACAGATGTGAAATGTAGAAGCCTGGATTATTGCGGCGTAAAGTCAGCGACTTCAAGGTCAATTTACTTTACTGTAACCCTTGGAGTGGTGTGTAGCATGTAACAAATGTACTAGTGAAACTAAATTAACGGAATACTCTGGATAAAAACTACATCTATCTGATTATCCATCATCTCTGAACTGCACTATGTTGTTTAGTAACTGATAAGTACAATGCTTATGATAGATATTGGAGTCAAATTTACTTATAGTTATCAAGTTGTGTATAGAAAACATTTGCGGATAGAACTTACGCAGTACAAGATGAAGACGGTGTTTACTGATTATAGATTAAGTCCGGATCACGAGTAAGTTGTACAGCGGTCAGATAAGACCCCTTTATGAAAACACTATATGCTTCCTACCTTATCGCGTGGTACAGGTTTATTGATAGGGTTCCTTATATCGTTGTGAACCAGTGTACCTCCTAGAAATAGTATACTGACATAAATGTACGGAAGTTTTGCGCTTCGGTTGTCGACGTTGCGTAATCACATCTGGTGACATCTTCAGCACTAAATCTATGTAGCAACTAGGCATATTTACTAGTCACATGAATGATCAAGGTTTGCTCATTCTTTCGTTTGAACACGGAAATATTTTCTCTCCTTACAGTTAATTTTTAATTTTATCTCAGGTCCCGTGACATGTAGAGAGGAGAAAGAAGACCAGGCAATAAGTGGTCTCTTCTCAAAACACTAGCTTATTTGGCTTAAGGTTCGTCTCGTTTGTTTATATTAAGTCTACTGTGCACCAACCTGCGTCTGTCTTGAAAAAAGGAGTAGCTGGCACATGAGGTTGTGTGAGATAAGCATCTCTTTTGGGTTAGATTGTATTGATGCATGTTAGCTATCTTGTTGAGGTTTTCGAAGTTATCCAGTGCAGGTGCTGAAAATTCTACCAGATATGTTTAAGAATACAAACCAGTGGTAGTCTTAGTCTTGTAGTTTGTTTCACCGTCAACCAACAGAGAAAGAAGTCCCTTTAGCGCATCGGTGGGGGGTTCTCACTCCTTGTTTGTCTTCCCTATAATTATATCCTACTTTATTTTGTGCCATATTTCTTGGTGCCAGTTACACATCAATTTTTATTAATTTAACAATTTAAAAAAAGTTCCGCTTCATTTCTTAACTGTTCAGAAGATATATTTTAAAACTATCATTAATAAGTTTCATTGCTCTCCAGATGAGACATTTCTATACAAAACTTTTGGATATTTTTTAAAGGTTCCTCGCCATTCCATGGTGAATCAGGTGTACTTGCTTCCAAAGTCTGGGATTACCAGCAATGTACTTCCAAATACGCCAAGCGTGATGCAAGTTCGGAGTCTGGCCGTTGGTCAAGCTGTGCTTCAACCAAATGGTGTGCTTACTACTGCCCCAGTTATGCCTCGTGAGTTTCGTAGTAAGTAAGCATATATTCTTATGCAATGCCTCTTTTCAAATCAAACTCACCTCGTTTATTCACTCATGTAGGTAGTTTGGTTATTGATTATTATGATGAGATATACTACGTGTTATCATTCCTGTGTTTTTACAGTTCAGCGTAACTTAACGTCTGAAGCATCTCATTTAGAAAACTGGTACATCATGTACCATATGTTGACAATATCCTTAGTTGATGACCACCACTGTATATGTGTGTCTGACCGACTGGTTTCAACGTAGAACACTGCACAAATGTGCAGCACTTGGAGTTGCCACACTCCATGTAGCCCACAAAGCAAGCGAAAAGAGTAAAGAGAGATTCAAAACAGAAATAAACAGATATGAGGCAAAAGGAATAGTAATATGGAAGAACAATATAGTTTTACTGAATATTATGAATCACAAAGAGTGAATGCATCTACGCCATTGAGAACGACTTCGAGCCATATCTATGATTGTCTTTAGCCACTGATTCTTACCATTCCGAGGAGCCCAACTAGGAAGTCTAATCCTCATGACGTGACTGGCTTAATGTAAATGTTGTGGATTTCATTGACTGATGCCATGTTTTGGTTTGACCACCACTAGCTGTTTTTCAGCCTGATCCTTCCTATGTCATCTAAGATCTCCCGTCGAGGAAGGCGATGGCTAGGCATGCGTAACACATGTCCCAAACATCTCAATGGATGCAGCTGCTTGATGGCCTCGTCGATTGATTTCCCCTTCTTACCTAGCAGTCGACCGATACCTCACTTGAATACTGCTCACCCTATTATACTGCCTAACACAGGAGATAGAACACAGACACCTATGATCAGAGACAGCTAGCCAGCTTTTTCTCGTCTTCCACTTTCAATGGTCATGTCTCACAGCCATAAAGGAGGACAGAGAGAACTGGTGAGCAGTACACTCGCTCTTTGGTCGATAGCTGGATATCATGTCTACGCCAGAGATGGTGCATTCCAAACGAGCCTTCTGTATCCGTACTGAGATTTCATCAACGATCAACCCGCTGGCACTGGCTGATGCAACTTCGCAAATAAGTGAAGTGGTAAGCATGCCCCACCGCTTCACTCCTGCCTATCTTTAAGCTAGGAGTGAGTCGATGTCGTCCAGTCCCATAGCATCATCTTACATTTGACAGCAGGAGCGAATCACATGCCAAATATTCGAAGATTGCTGCTCCTCACATAGAAGGACTGTGTCATCGACATATTCTAATTCAACAAGATGATTTCCTGGTAACAAGTCAACCCTTGAGTCACTGAAGTCAATTAGGGTTGAGACCATTAGTACATCTATGACGAAATTAAACAGAAATGGGGACAGTAAGCATCCTTGAGGGATACCATTGGTTGTCACCACTTTCAGAGGATAACTCCGTATGAATTCGAGTAGAATGCCTTGATCATTGCAATGTATTTTCTCGGCATTCAGGGAGGTGTTGAATGCTCAGTAGGTTGACTGTGGCTGTAGGCCAGCTAAATTGTTCTTCAAAGTGTCTTTTTTTCAACGTTCCAATTGTCTATTCTGAGAGCTAGTTATGGTGCCATTTTCCTCAGAGATTGTTTCACTCATCATTCGCCTTTTACCACCTGTTTCTCTGATAAGTCTAAGTAGTTGTCTGGTGTTACCTATTGCCGAGCCTTTCCATTTTTTCCTTTTGTCGTTCACCACTGTTCATGGTCGTTACGAAGGTTCGTGGTTAGTTTGCGTTTGAGCACTTTTCGCTCTTCATCATACTCGGAGGTCACCGGGATCAGTCTTCTTGAATGAATCAGTTCGGATGTGGTAATAGAAACCCACTAGCTCTTACATACTTTTGGTTTTAGGTTATTAACTGCCTTTACAGCTGCCTCTACAGCTAAACTGAATGTTGTGCTAGACCTCTTCAGGAACGCGTTAACATATTTCTTCCTTAAATAGGGACTCAGTGTCCTGATCAGGTTGGGTAGGTAACAGCCTCGCTGCCAACAATTTTTTGTGTCCGTTTAATCGTAAGTAAGGCGTCCAAAAATTGCCATATTTCTTGACTTGAAGGCGGCCTTTGACTCCGTGGATCGAAAAGTACTATGGCAATGTTTGACTGTGAAGGGAGCGCCAAGAAATTACATTGCACTAATCAAGGCACTCTACTCAAACTCACGTAGCTGTGTAAGGGCTTATGGGAATTGTCATCTGAATTGATGAAAACCAGTGGTGTCCGTCAGGGATGTCCATTTTCCCCATTTCTGTTTAACTTCATCATAGATATGCTAATGGACGTATCCTCAACCGAACTTAACGACTTAGGAATCGACTTATTACCAGTGAATAGTCTTATGAACTTAGAATATGCAGATGACATAGTCCTGTTAGTGAAAGATACTGAAAAAATGCAGAGTCTTCTGAACACCTTGAGCTGCAATCTTCGTATGTTTGGCATGCGATTCGCCCCTGTAAAATGTAAGATGTTGCTACAGGACTGGACTACGTCAACTCCTAGCTTAGAGATAGGGAGTGAAGTGATAGGACTCGTTGATCACTTCACCTATTTGGGAAGTTGTATCAGCGCCAACGGATTGATTGGCGATGAAATCTCATCACGGATTCAAAATGCTCGGGCTGCTTTCGCTAACTTACACCGTCTCTGGCATGACATCCGGCTATCAACCAAGGGACGTGTGTACTGCTCAGCGGTTCGCTCCGTCCTTCTCTGTGGCTCTGAAACATGGCCAATACGAGTTGAAGACATGAAAAGGTTGTCTGTTTTTGATCATAGATGTCTACGATCTCTTTCTCTCGTTAGGTGATATAATAAGGTAAGTAATGTTGACGTTAGGCGTAGAGTGTTGGGCAAAGAGGGAAAATCAATCGACGAGGCTATAAAGTTACATAGATTGAGATGGTTAGGTCACGTGCTGCGCATGCCTAACCATCGCCTCCCCCGACGGGCATTACTAGCTGATATAGGTGCAGGTTGGAAAAGAGTAAGTGGTGGTCAAACCAAAACATGGCATCAATCCATGAAATCCTTGGCAGTTAAACTGAGTCAGGTGGGGAGATGCAAACTTCCGGGTTGGGACCCTCGTGACTCTAAGAATCAATGGCTGGAGACAAATGGTGACATGGCTCAAAATCGTTGTCAATGGAGCAGATGTATTTAGTCTCTGTAATCTTTCATATTCCTTTCTACCACTACTCATTCTGTTTCACTCTTATACTTGTCAAAACTCTATTGATTCTCTTCACTCATCTTGTCTACCTTTGTGTGCTATTTGGAACGTGGCAACTCGAACTGCTGCACTTCGGTGCCAAGTTCTATGTTGAATTCAGTCAGTCAGTTAGTCAGTCATCGCCTTCCTCGACGGGCAATGTTAGCTGACATAGGGTCAGACTGGCAAAGAGCTAGCGGCGGTCAAACCAAAATATGGCATCAGTCAATGAAATCCACAACAGTTAGTTTAAGCCACGTAGAATTCCTGGTTGGGGTCCTCGTGACGGTAAAAACCAGTGGCTGGAAACAATTGGTGACATGGCTCAAAATCGTTCTCTAATATGCATTTCTCCTACTTTCTTCTCTTGCTTTTTGTGCTACACGGAGTGTGGCGACTTGAACTGCCGCACATCGTTGCAAAGTTCTATGTCGAAAACAGGCAGACACGTAAGCAGGCACAAACGTGTGCGAACCAGGGCGTGATCAGTCTACGCACGTGTTCCAGAAGGAGCTGGAGTCTTCTACTGATCTTCGCCAATCATAGCCTATCTATGTGGTCCATTTGAGTCCAACGTTGATTTGTTGATTGAGGCCGCCTGGTTAGGCAATGTCTCTCTTTGTGGTTAAAGTCAGTGCTGACTAGGACCAGGTGATGATGGTAACAGGGATAAAGGAGAGTGATGATTAGGAGGGCTTCGTGTGCTTTTGGAACTGTGTGGGCGGTCATTACTACCCGGCTACCTGAAACAAACAGATTTAGTGTTGCGTGACTCCAGAGCCCAGGGGACATCTGCTTGAGGCCGGTCACACACGGTCTGTCTGAACTGAATTCTTGGATTGGTTCCGTATTAGTAGCTTACCAGTGGCTACGGACCACCGAAGGGTAACTTGGAATGTACAGTTCTCGGGGTTGACCTTTTTCTAACCCCTCTCTCCAGATTGGAGAGACAGATAATTGGCATGCTGGTCATCTGAGGGAAACACCTTTTTACTGTTACATCCATGTTCCCCCGCAGTATGACTTTGCTCATGGACTCCCAGCATAGTGTATAAAAGCCCGTACACTACTCCGGTAACTGCTTTTAGTTTAATGACTATCCTAACAATCTTCGTGGCATGGTAGGACCTTTATGGCCAGTGTGTCTTGTTGGATTACTACGATATGCAAGTCCGACCACCACTTCAAGATAGCAACTATGTGACAGAGCATATGTGTGTGGTTCTCAAGGAAGTAGAAAATATACATTTTATGTGCAGTTGCGCCTATTAGGTTAGCCAGAAATTAGTTTGATGTTAAAATCGAATCGAATCTTGACTCTGATATGTGAAAAGACTATTATTAAGTTTCAGCTGTATTCATAGCCTAGCGTCTACCTTGTTGAGGCACATCTATGCCCTAAGGATTACTGAAAAAAAATGAAATATTAAATATTCGTGATCATACTTCCTTAACAGATTTACTGTTCAGGTCTCGTTCGACAAAGTAGTTAACTTTATTAACAAATAAACCAGTCAAATCCGTTTTACCTTTTTCTTATAATGCCGTTCTTTCGAGCAACCTAGTTACTGTTTCGATATACACTAATGTATCAACTATTAGTTTTTGAACATGAGAATAAAATTAACGCTATAAGCAGTAGTTCGTGTGTTTGTTGTCAAACGGAACATACCGTGATTGACAGCGCTGTGATTGATTATATCCCTAAAAATGATACATTAAACAGCTAAGCCGATAAGTCCTGCGCGTTGTGTAGATTACTATGTTTCCATAATAACACGTTGACTGTAAACCCTTTTGGCATTTCATCGTAATTGCACTAATTTATATGTGGAGTGTCAGCTTGGAAATCAAACCTGATAGTCATGCGTTACACGAAAACACAATTTGTACATTTGTTGGATTATACACACTTTGAGTACAACTAGTAAAGATTACCGTGAATTCCCGAAGGGTCCTGAGAAGTGTCAATAAAAGGATTTAATTATTTGGAAACTTCACTCTATCAGATTTATGGAGTCTTGTAATCAGCAGTTTAACGTTTGAATACCACGTGATTCATACGTTTTATAAATGAATATTCCAATTTTTACTGTAGAAAACGCCATCCTACTTTTTTAAATGCTCATTACAGCAGAAATCCCCCCCACTTTATTGCTATTAGAATTCCATGACATAGTGTTCTGGGACTTACAGATCGTCCCTTGTGCTGGATAGGAAACAGTAGTTGCTAAAACTAAGGTATTTGAATCAAAGTTACTACGATAAACTTCCGATATATAATAGTCTTTAGTAAAATTAAGGTCTTATTTTTATTCTTTTAATTCACACTTGAAAGTTTCCATTATCAAGCGCTGATCTCCATTGGTACCGTCTGTAAAGTACGGGAAAATAAAGTTTACAATGTTCTTATATCATCTTTATTTATTAGTTAGGAATTGCGAAATGTCGAGTTTTAGTTACTTGAATCGATGATAGTGTTTGCGAGAACTGGTTTAAGATGATGAGCATAAATTTCAAATGCTGAGCACATCGTTATTACTTGAATTTGTTGGTAAAAACATTACTGAAATAGATAAGTGGCATTACTAAATTTTTGGATGACGCAACATCGGTAGTGGCGTGTACTAACTTTTCATATTTATTTGTTAGAAATTAATCTGCTTGATTGATCTAAGAAATAAAGAAAGTTTGTCTGCATGGCATTCTTGTCAATTATCTTTGAAACTATTTTCCTTGTAAACTTCTCACTAGATTATGATTACTTGGGTGATTTTCGTAAATGACTTGAACAAATGTTGTATTCCAGTGTTTCAAGACGTTCATTTTGTTGTTTTGGATTTTTTTGGACGACTACTGTGTGATGTTTATTTCCATAACCAGGAGTTGTTACACCACAATCGGGATCATCAACCAAATTGGTTGGATTCTTCAACCAACTGTTGGAGTTATCGAAGAATGTATCCGCTAGCACACACGGCTCAGTGGCAAGGCTGATACAGGCGCTGGTGGTAAGTCTATATCTATAAATTTCAGATATATGCTAGACTTATGTTTATGCTGCAGCAATATATTATTATCTTATTTATTTATTTATTTAAACGCAGAAAAACTTGGTACAATATGGCACCAAGAAAGATGCGCCACACAATAATAGTAAAACAACATAAACTAAAAGTAAAAATATAAGTAGAAAACGGATAAAGAACTTCATCTGGAAGGAAAACAGTCATGTTTAACAAGTTCAAACAGTATTCGTTAACTATCATCAGGAAGGGAAGAAAGAAGGAAATTGCAACACGTTCGCCATTCATTACGATTCTTGGCCATATCCGATAACGTTTCGAGCCATCGCTTCGAGCTATCTCGCGGACCCCAACCAGGGAGTCGTGACACACCAACCGATGCTAATCTAGCACAAAAATCCTTCATTCTACGACGCCACGTCATGGACTGACCACCCCTCCGCCTTTTCCATCCCGTCCCAGGGCTAGCGAACAGAGACCTGTACGGAAGCCTCTGGGATGACATTCGCAGCACATGTCCAAGCCACCGGAGCCGGTGTTTCCAGATGACGACACTCAATGAATGGTGGTCTCCACTGTGTTCAAACACACGCCGCCGAACCTCAGAATTACTCACGCGATGATGCTATCGAACGCAAGCGATCCTGCGATGATCGAACACGCAGAGTCACCGCACATCCTCAGCTCGGAGAGGCCAGCTTTCACAGGCGTAGAGCAAGACAGCCCGCACCGAAGCATTGTACACCCGACCTTTGACAGCTAGGCTAACGTCGCGACGGCGCCAGAGGTGGCTCCCTAGCCTTCATTATACGATTGGAAATCTCATCCGTCACCCCTCAGCATGAAATGTAGTACTTGGAATTAGATATTTGAGTAAGTACTGAGATGAGTTGAGCGTACTATTTACCGAAATCTCATGTTGATTAAAACACGCGTGTCCAGTCGACCTCATCCACTTTGTGCATTCATTACTAACGTGTTGATATTTGAAGGCACAATACTAATTTAAGTATCCGCAGCTAAGCACAACAAGTTGACAAATGGTTTAGCGGGTAGAAGTTGTTAGGTCCTTTTGATCTCAAGTAAAACTACCACTTCAAGGTGGGAACTGTTCATTAGGGTAGAGTCACTTGCTCAGTCGACGTAAAAAGTCATCCTTCTCACTGTAAAATAAGTAATACGCGAGGTTTTGTCATCCTTTATAAGTAATAACAAGTGAAGTGTAAAGATTGTTGAAATTCTTGGTTATAATTTTCTTCACTTCTTTTATTATTTTTATAGAATGGAGAACTTGATGCCAGTTCTTTCAGCACACAGTTACGCAGCAATCTTAAAAGTGCCAATCCCGGTATGGATCTCGCTCCATTTATAAAGGACAACATAGATTTACTAAGGAGAGATTTAGCCAATGGTGTTTGTCGATTACCAAATATACAGCCTCCGCCAAAAGAGATCTTCTCTACAACTACGCCTGTCCCCGTAACAATTGTTACACCATTACCTACTCTGGGTCTACATGCTCGTGCTAATACTGTAGTCTCTACAACAATCCTTTCGTCATCAATACAAGGTGGTCCTCGCATCGCTCTCCCAACCAATACTACTCCCCGTATAGTAGGAACACTTATGCCATCAGTTTCAACGCCAGCTATTCCTGGCAGTCCTGCTACTGTTCTCACATCTCGATCTCAGCCCCCATTATTAGCTCCAGCTCCTCCTAGGGTTTGCGTTGCACCTACAATTAACATTGATGCAGCTGCAACTTTGGGCGCCGTTACAAGATACCGTTTAGCCCAGCCTATTAGCGGTGTTACATCCGCAACCGTTGTCCTACCTGGTACAGCTGTGACAACAGTGGTCCCGACACGTTTCACGTCAGCTATTAACGGGACACGGACAAGTTATCAAAACTTAAGACCAATTATAGCTTCTTCATCAACTTCGTCAGCCTTTGGTATTAATCTTGGTTCAATAAAATCAGCCGCTGGAATGTCAGCTGTTGTATCTCCTTTAATACGCGCTAAATCCGGATATACTAACTCTTACACATCTGGGATCTTACCTGCTGTACATAACAAGGTAGGCTCCAGTCTTTTGTCTTTGAGTGGATCTTCGCTTTTCATAGACGGTGGAGACCGGAAGTCAAATGAAGTGTCATTTTTAAGTGATGAGATACGTCACACATCTGCATCGCCAATGCGTGACACTCCGTTCTTTCCCCCAGAAAGAGTCAGAGAAGTATTAGAAGCTCATGGTATCAAGTCACTAACAGAAGAAGCTATTATATGCCTTGCCCACGGTTTACAAATATTTATCAAAGGTCTGTTATCGAAATTGAGAATTATAGTGTCACACCGTCTGGATCGTTTAGGTGAAGATTCCCGTTTGGTGCGAACAGATCATACACGTGAGCAGCTAAGATTTCTACAAAAGTTGGATGAACATGATCGAATAAGGCAGTCCGAACTGGAAAAGGATCTGATTCTTAAGGCTGCAAAGGTGAGTTTCTAGGCGTGCATATTATGGTTGTATTAATTTTTAAACTCTTAATCCTGCTGTTCTGAATAAGAGATGGAGTTGCACATAGCTATGTTGTCAAGTTGGTATGTTGTTCGCATACATCCCAGTAACCACATAAGAATTCATCCTAGTTTTCAGCCATTCCATTTATGTAGTGACAGTAGCAGATTCATTAACACCATCAAGATAACCAAACTGAACGCATACCTGAATCATTCAGTTTTTAGTTTTCATTTGTTTCTTTTAACGCTCTCATCATCTTAAACATAACTTAAATCACTTTTATTTGCAGTCGCGCTCTAAAAATGAGGACCCACACCAAATGCAAATGAGGGAAATGGCTCGAAGAATAGCATCTGAAGACTATGAACGGGAAAAACAACATCAAGCCAATCTCACAGCTCTTCACGCCATTGGCCCACAGCGTAAGCGTCGTTTGGATACTTTGGATGAGATGGGTAATCCCATCTCAAGCGATGGTTTGGGAGGATCCTACCCATCAAGAAATGGTGCTACTAAAATAATTAGTGCACTACCCACTACTAGCCGCCTTTCCATTGTTAGCGCCAATCGTCTAGGGATTGTAACTCCAGTTTCTAGTATGCCGCAGTTCAACTTAGAAACTACGTCTTCGAATTCCAACACGTTGGGTACTCCGATCAGTGGGACTAGTGACGGACCAAATACAACCGGGTTTTCGCTGGCACTAAGTCTTAGAACTCACCGCGCTACTATGCGAGATATTCAGGTTGTACTTTCCCGGACACCGAGACTTCGTCGTACGCGTACTTACTACAAGACGTATTGGCGTTCCCAGCCTTGACATTTTTCAGTGTTTCTTATTTTGATTTGATGTAATTTAGTAATGGTTGGCTGATTATTCTTTGATAGCAATCCACAGAATTTTTCAGTCGCCTACCAACGTGTATTGCCAAAACCTCTGTATAGTTATACATTGTAAAAATATGAGATGTAATGTTGCTAAGCTCAGATTGTTTTTTGCATTGGAAATAAGATTTCACATATTTTTTCCACTGTGTACATTTATCTTTTTTAAAAAGATTGTTTGCTGGTGTGTTTAAACTGTTGTACATAATTTACATTTGCTGTTCTGAGAAAATTCTAGTCTTTTTTGATTTCTTTGATATTCTGTAGAAATCTGAACACTGGTTTCATCATTAAAACAACTAGCCGCATGTTATAGCGTGGCCAACCAACCATATTAATTAACAACAAGAATTGTGGACCAGTAAATTTTTATCGTTGATTATTTTTCACTGAAAAAACGCCATATATTATATGTATGAACAAAACATTTTATAGAGGTTAGTTAGATGATGCGGAATCAAAGAATAGTGAACATGTTGGAAATTTCACATTAGAAAGTGCCTAATTAATTATTACATTGAGCCAAAAGAAGAACGAGGGTCCTAGGAAATAATCATAATCAGATATCTGTCGGACCGAGTAAGCGATCATCGTTCAAAAGGCGTTGAGACACATTTTGAAGGCGTTATTGCGAAATCCAAAATGTTGACAACCTAGAAATGCATTAAGGGGTAAAAAAAGATTAACACTAGTATTCTGAACCATATTAATTGGAAGTCATTGCTTGCTTGACTGCATTAATTATTACGCCAACCTAACCACTTGATATAAGAATAAAACTTGGGTACTGTGGTAGAGTGTAATTCCATTATGGGTAAATTTTATTTTGATAGAGTCTCACAGTGTTATACAGTAATATTTACTGATGACGTTTCGAGCACAATTTATTGCTCATAAACCTAACCACTTCATTCATGTTTGTCAAGTGCTTGTGTTGTGACGGCAAGAAGCTATCGACATGGAGCTGGTTCCGATAAATACTTCATTGTCTAGACCGTTAAATTCGTACCTTTTATGTCAAAAGTACTTGTAAAAGCTACATACATCTGTTATGCATACTCAATGGTCATCTACAGCACTGCGTGCTGAAAATAATGTTCCTATCATGAATTATTTGTTTATAAACTGAGGCGAGGATTATGTGAGAAGTAACATAGGACACATTTAGGTGAACTGGGTTGCGACTCAAGCCATCAACTGATTGGATTGATCGCTACGTGTATTTTTACGGCTATTTGGTTGCATGCATACACATGCTCGAACTAATGGATAACTGAAGTCCAGACAGGTGTTACAGAAGGAGCGGTAATCTACCACGAATCCTCTCCATCCCAGTTTGTTTCCTTCATTCTCCAAGTGAAGCAATGTATCTATATTTAAAGCTAGCGATTGCCTACCGCAAACTAACTGAACAAAATTGTAGAAAACAATTGTCAGCATAAAACTCTAGAAATATCTTTCCGACTGATTGAATTCAATCACCTGCTCATGCGATTGAGGGATTTTACTTTTATGAATGAGCTACTGAGTTTGTATGCCCATTTTTAGAGATTCTTTTGCATAGGAAAACTCCCCTGAAAAGTTTAAATCCCCTTTTCGTGATAGTGTCATCCTTATGTGTGCATCTAGTATTTCTTATACAATCTCTTATATACTTCCAGTTAGTGCTGCCGTACAAACAAGACAGAGATAAAAGTGCCATTTAAACACAAACTGACTTAGAAACAAACTATCGGTTAGGGGGTCCCGTGGAGCTCATAAGACAAAATAATTCAGTTTATCTGATAACCACGTAGTGAATAAGTGGTCTTATATGATGTGTTAACGTAGTAGGCTGGAGTCGCTCACACTATCACAAAAATAAACTTGGTAAAACCTGGAGCATTGCGCTGTACTTGCATAAATCTATTAAAAGCTCAGCTGTAGCACTACATAGTCACACGATACAGACGTCTAACAGAGATGATTCGACAGCCGTCCTGGATATCCGGAAAGTAGTGCTATCCATGTGACAAATGGAGAAATAACTAGAACCAGTTTTTAAAGTTGTGGAGTTTAGTTTGGTACGATTATAAACAGTAAATTGTGTTCAAAACGTCATCCAGTAAATGGCACCTCTTGGTGTATATGATAAAAAACCCAGTATGGAATTGTACACTAGCAGTGCCCAGATTTAATACATCTTTGCGTTACGGTGGCATGTGCGCGGTTGTTACTTCTCTGGTGTTGGCACCGTATTTGTTGCAGTACCTAGAAGTACTTGGGTTCAGTTGGCTGTAGAACGATCGTTTGTTTAGGTGGAATTTATGAGGTTTCGTGTGTCCGGACGATTTTACCGCTGTCGAGATGTATAGAATGAGTTATTTAATCGTAAATAAGAGGAACTGCTGCCTTTTATTTTTCAGCAATCTTCCAGCTGATCTTATCTGACAACAAGAAGTGCTTTAAAAACTAGGTGGTTGCTGATTTGTTATTTAGGCGTTTAGGCATTGAAACAATTTGGTATTACTCTTCTAGGCATAAACTTTAGTCTTAATAAAGCTAGTATAAATTGTGAAGCATATGACAATGACTCAGTATAAGTAGCCACATAGTTTGCTTCCTGATATTGCGACGATGACTGGTTTTGTTGCCATATCCATGTAACTGATCTTGATCTTGGTACGGTGAAAATAAAACGTGTTAGGTAATTCACTTTAGAAGTTGTAGTTCCAGAAAGCTGTAGTGTGCAAACTGAATCAAAAATGTACCTACTCGACAATTCCAGCTTTAGCGGCTTGTTTCTTATATTACTTAATTTGTCAAACTAAGATATGAACAATGTAAATCGTGTTCCTTTCAGATTGAGCGGTGATACAAAATATTTTCAAGATATAATATACACTCACCTGCTGAAGTCAAATCAAATTGAAATTCTCTCACGGTTGTTGGTATCTCCGCCCAAAATGAATTTCTTCTCGCTTATGTGCTTTTTGAAGTTATTCGATACTACAGGTGCTTGATTTACTGTAGGTGTCGAACTGAATTCATTGTTTACACTTGGGATCCTTCCTACACGAAACACGTATACACCTTCAGAGTCCGGGGTGACTGCACCATTCTTCGATGTCGAAATACGTCGACGTACTCTTGTTCGGCTTGGGAAACGTTTCATATGTACAACAGAATTTTCACGTGGGGAAGAATTAACAGGACGGCATGATGGACTTCCAGCTTGTGTTTGATATACAATTTTTAGAGGACTTGAATCCATTCTGTCTAAGGATCTGCAATCTCTGTTTGGATGATGTCGAATAGAATTTGTAGGTTTCTGAGCTTTGTTCGAAGTGGCATGGGGACGACTGTTCCCAGTACTTACAATATCTATGTCATAATATTTCTCGTTTACTAGCTGAATACTGTTTTGTTTCGGTAAAATTACAGCTTGTGAAGCTAAATCTGCACTACTTGTACTAGATGTTTCTGAATTATCATTTTCACACGAGCCGTACATACTTAAACTTTCATACAGTATTTTGGGCTCTGTAGAACGTCCACGTTCACTTGTGCTGTTTAAATGACTATACAACCGTTGCTGTCGTTTTTCACGTGCTCTTGATAGTGAAGGTGAATTTGAAATATGTGTGGATTCAAACTCTTCCTTAACTGTAACTTGGTTTACCTTAGTCCAGTTTAGATATTCATCAGATTGGGCTAAAACTGAGCTCGTCGATTTATATCGAACTGGAGGTGGACTGAAAATAGATACATCGGAATTCCAGCCACTAAGGTGGACGCTACTTCTTGACTTCTTTCTGGTTATAGACAGAACTTGACAACCACTTCGCACTTTGTAATTCAACGATGAAGAGCGGTTGATGGATTTCGATTTACGAACTTTAGGCGAATCTCGTTCAATCAAAATAGTTAAAGGCTCCATTTCCCTTATATCTTCAGGAGTAGCTAGTGGTACTCCTCTGATATATTTGTATTTACAAGCTTCACCGCTCAGCCATTCACATGAGTCACTTTCGTAAGTCGTATTTTCGTAATCTGGAGTAGTTCTGTTGTGTAAGTGAGGAGATTGCGTTAGTGGGATTTCATTGTGTAAGACCTTGGACGGTAAATCTACAAACTTAATTTCTTCATTGCTTATTGGCCATATATTTGCGATGGAAATGGTAGGACTATTAATGGGTTCTACACATTCAGAACAGTCATCCATCACGCATATAACTGTACGTTCCTGGTTTCTTGAACCGATGAAGCGCAATGGATCAATAGTTAAAGGTTTCGGAGGTTCCAAACAGAAACGCTGCTTTGCAGCAAGACGCGACTGATGGGCTGGAGAGGAAAACGGTGGAGGTATTGTAGCCGGAGTATTATTTATATTTGTAGTACATAGAGAGGGATCGCTCATACTTGCTTCTATTGGCTTTTGTGGATCTGAATGCACAATTAATTTCAACTTTTTCTGACTTGCTGGTGATAATGCAGCTGAGGATGTGGACGATTCATTTGAGTTCATAACCCAAACATCTGTATCTTCACGAATAATTTTGGGATTGGAATGACGCATGCGTAATTCGGGCGAGTAGGTCTTATTTTCGTATGGGGAAGAACATGGGGATTCTGACTCGCTAGATCTATATAATATAATAGAATAGAGAATACAAAAAAAGTAATGAAGTTCGCATACACGCCTAAAATGTATGTGTAAAGTAGCTTCTTGCAGCGACATCTGTCTAGTGGAACTAGTAATTATGTGCATCCATTTTAAGAAAATCCAAATAGTTAACTACCTTATAAGCTAGTGTGCTGTAGTTTTTGGTCTGCAGTAACCTTCGAAGATTTCGGCAGAAAATTTGTCGTGAGATGAATTGACATTTAGGAGTTGGTAAAATGTCATAGTGCTCTTCGCACAGAGGATATTCATCTGTTCTTATACTTTTATTGATATACGAAACCTTTTACCATTAAAATACTATGATTTTTTAGTCTAAGTGCCGTATCGGTTATTCTTATAACCTGTATTTGTTCACTATAATTCATATAAATCACATGTATATCTTGACGAATAGGTCAAGTGGTTCTTCACTGTTACACAAAGAAACAAAAACACAAGGAATAAACAGTAATTGAGAAATCGCATTCCCTTTAGTGGGAAAAAAAATTCCCAAAAGAAACCATTTGACATGGATTTATGAAACTTGGCTAAAGTATAAGCGGTTAGTGTAGCACATAAGTAACAACATATATCACACATACACGCTCATTCCTGTGGTACATATTTCAGTAATACAAGAAATAATGATAGTCATATAGATTCTACAAATCGGTAGTGAAATAGTGCGTACGTGCTGCTTAAATTTATTCTAAGCAATACTGTGAATTAGGTCACCATTCATCATGAGATTTCTTTTATATAATCAATTTTAACCAAAAATGTGAAGTCAACGTTTTGCTATATTACATTTGTCAGCTGAAACTGTTATGATCACTCCTCTGGATGTTGTTCCGTTTACCAATCATTTGAAACGCCATACATTAGCACAAAATCTAGAGTTCTACGTCTCACATAGTGAACTTCAACTTAAACGGAAGAAGTTTTTCCATTCATTCACTTCATTTATTTTTCTATTCAAAAAAACAAACAACACTGAATACTCTGTGTAGGGATATGTGGCTCTCTTAACTTCAACACTCTACTTTCGACCTATCTGGGCAAACAATATGTGTGGCTCACAGTAGTGTAGATAGAAAATCTGTTCTAGGTAAATGAGTTTTAGCTAACTAACTAACTGATGCACCATCACTTCAAACAAATATTCATATGAAGTTGTAATATGCATATATGTATCCTGATTTCGCTATAAAAAGAATTAAGCGCGAATGCACTTATCATACAAACTTTGGGTTCATTTTATTTATAACAAAGGTTTTTCCTGTTTCTTCCCTCTTTCCCTTTTCAGTCTTCTGACTACTGCTGACTTTTTTTTCACATTTTACCTTCTCTTTGGTTACTTCCTACTTACTTTATAGATAGATACGATAAACGTAGAAGCGATGTGGACGGTGTCTGGGAGCTTGTTTTTAACTACACTGAGAGTGATACTTTTAATTGTTAAAAGTCTCTTATCTTAAAGAATGCAAAGGTTAAGCCTTCTGTAAAACTATTCACTTGAAAAGTTCCTTTGTAAGCGTCCAGAGCGTTTATAATACTGATATATTGTAGATAATTCGATTAATTTTAACTGAATTCTTTCGAAAATGGCAGCGAATTTAATTTGTAAAAGGCAGATGATGAGTAACGCACTCGTCTCGTAATCTCAAGAACATCGGTTCTATTACCAGTGGGGTTGTGAGTTTGTGCTGCTGAGAGGGCTCATGAGTTTAACTGCACATCTTTTTGTAAAGTATGTATATGGCAGATATCTCAATCATATCTTATAACTGAAACAAGTGAAAGTAAAGATAACACAAAAACAAATAGATTTAACAATAAATCTACATACTACTTATCAGTATGGTAAGAAAAAAAATTTACACTTACGCAAAATATTCATCTGTGGCAAGAAGATTCATACGATTACTTCTGTAAAATAAATAATTTATTCAAGAAAAGATAAGAATTATTTTTAATTAGTGTTTGAAAAAAAGACGACTGCGACAATTGTTATTGTTACAACACAACTCTTATATAGAATGAATAAAAAAAAGAGAAATAAACGGATATTGTATTGGGGTAAAAGCAGCTTTAGTATCTCACTCTCAACATTCTACTAATTATTACATAAAATATTCTAAATATTTAATCTGAACCAAAAAAAAACAACAGACAGAATAGATAATATTAGACTGTTGAATTCTCGATTATACCCTGTCAACATTTAAATGCAGCACTGATATGATAGTAAACATTTTAGGTAATTTGATTTTGATTTTACTGGCAAAACTTTCAGTTTTAGTTCTAAGCATAGATGAAAATGAAGTCAGTCGGTCGTGGATTCAGTGTAGAAGAAATTCTCCCTAAATTACGCTTGAAAATTAACTCTAAACTGACTTCATCATAAAGTAGATACTAAAGATGACGACGTTGAAAGTTCTACCAATAAAATCTAAAGCGTCGAAAGTGACAACACTATCATTATGTTCTATGTAAATACTGATATAGCAGAAATCTCTTAGAAGGGAGAATAAAAGTGGCTACAATTTATGTGTGCTACATAAATTGATGCTGTGTAGAAGTATTCAACATTCCACATAATAGAATTGAGTACTACTAATATTCTTTTCAAGAAATTAAATTTGACTCTTCCCCGGTGGGTGCGTACTGATGAGGAGTCCCAAACTAGGATGAAACAGCTGTCGAGTACTCCCAGTGGTTCTCTAACTGATGTCAGCTCATGATGAAATCCTCCATGCAATCAAATTTGACTCTAATAAAAAAATTCAACAAAATCACCATGTATTATAATACAACCTTCATCTTATTGTCCTTAGGAAAGTGAAACAACAAAATACGAAAATTAATTAGGATCAAAATAAAATAATTATATTCGCATAAAAAGAGCATATAGGTAAGTTCTTAAAGTCACCCAATTTGGCGCAAAACAAGTGGTAACAGTAACACCAAACAGTGCAAACACGCTTATGCTCTTTTTTGAAATTATAACATTGTACAGCCCATTCCAGTTGTATGTAAGCTTGATGCAGCTGTATTTCAATACGACCTTAGTAACATATTACCCAGAAACCACTGTAAAGTGGTTTTCGTCGGCATATTTGCAAATAAATTAGAAGGTTAATAGGAAAATAAAATCACTAAGAGGTAGTCAGTAAATTGCTACAGGATAAATACCATATAATAGTAGAAATGAAAATCGAATATGAACATGTTTGCATCAATATAATCGACTTTGATCTACTTATTATCTAAAGTTCCCAACTACTGACTGGATATTAATCACCAATTAGTCAATTTGACCGAAGCTAATAGTCAGTAACTTTGAGGGATTAGTGTCATCTACTGGACTGACCAATTTTAGCATTCTTACAACTCGATTTAACTTAAGTTCGCATGGCACTGTAATAATAGATGGTAGTTTGTCATACGTCGTAGATATCCTAGGCATTCTACTCCGCTTACACTATATGCAGTTATTGCTACGATGAAAAGTACTATCGGAAAATACAATTTTAATGTCTCAGCTGTGTGATCGAATATGATAGATCGCCGCACAATACATATATCTGCTTGTAGGTGGTCAATATATTAATATCACTAGAATTAGTGCAGTCCGAAAGATGCTTGCTAAGTTACTTATACATGCCTTTTTAGAAGCAACGCGTTCGACTATTTCAGATTCTACCACCAAACAAGGTGGAATCACGTAAAGTGAGGTACTTCACTTATCAGATTACTACACATAAGTTAATTGCATAATCTAATGTCAGGCACTTATTGGTAACTAACCATAGAATATTAGCATATAGTTATGCGGAAAATCAAGTATCAATTTCACCAAAAATACCCATTGAGTCATGAAGAAAATAAAAGACAGATTCAGCGAAGAAAAATTTCTTTATCGACGAAATCATCTTCAGAGGCTGTACAGTCGTATTTATACTTACAAAAATATATAGTGGTCTATTATTGAGTAATAGGGGGTGACATAATTGATGTAATTACTCAGAAGTGGCTTTAGAAGGGCGTCAGGTGTCGGCTTTTGTGTATGGTGGAGGCTCTGGCAATTCATCAATACAACCCCGAACTTTGTATACAGAAAAAGTTTTTCCAGTCTCTTATTCTCCCTTGGTCTTAACCTCATCACTAATCGTTCCTTGTAAATAAAATATATTTTGATTTTTCTTTCCATTCTAATTTCACTTTTAGTTTGCTTTTGCTTTAATAATTAATTCACTATTATCACTCTCATATGCTCCTTTTGTATATTTTCACACCCTCTTCACACTTGTTAAATTGACACTCAAATACCTTTATTCTCACTTAATAGCAATTTTAACCTTATCAAATTTCTATCTGTTTGCCGTTGAGTACCACGTAATTTTCAACTTCTAATTTTCACTTCTAAAGCCACTTCTGAGTAATTATATCAATTATGTCACCCCCTATTGCTCAATAATAGACCACTATATATTTTTGTAAGTATAAATACGACTGTACAGCCTCTGAAGATGATTTCGTCGATAAAGAAAATTTTCTTCTCAGTATCAATTTATTCGAATTGCAGATTCCAAAAATAATGGGTATCATTCCTTGTCTATCCTTGGCAAAATGACTTTATAGCGATAAGTAAGTGCACAGCAGTAGCGACACTGGAGACTGACTTTCACTGTTTTGGTAAACTCATTAGGCCGAAAGTAAACGGTGAGCACCGTTGCCACTTAACATGCTGCCACTTTATGCTCCGTTATTTGTGCATAATGCCTATTTAACTAAACAAGTTGACCCCGACGTATTCATGGCATTTCGATCGATCAGATTGTTGTTCTTATTTTAACCTCCTAACTTCTGATCTGAGCTTATATAAATACAGTATGGTTGAGGGATAACATATGCACATACAACTAACACCAGATACACTGAGCGGATATTAATTTGAAATAATTAATTCCCTTTATGAATTTCGACAGAACAATAAGATGTAATTTATCTGAATCGTATAACTGTGGGGCGTTTGTTGGAAGCCCCAGCAATTAAAAAGTTTAAACCACCTTTATGTGTTCAAAAACATTCCGTCATCACTTTAAATCTTCCTTGGTAAGCTTTGTTTTGATACCATGGCAGATGTACTGTTATCCCCCTTCTTTGGTTTATTATTAATCTCCATTATTATTTTGACCTGTGGTAAGCATGTGTGTGATCAGATTGTTCGAAATGCCCTGTGCAAAACACATTACACGATTCATATAAATTACGTCTACTTCTTATTTTATCGGGATATTAATTTGTCAGTTTATCTCGTAAAGTGACAGATAAATTGTATAATAATGTGATCTTAAAACCCACTGTAATTGTGAGAAGAGATGAAATGATATCATCTCTCAAAGCTTAACACCTCTCATTCAACTATACGCTTATCAAAGTAAGTGCATAAATTTGACGACAATACCATTTCATTCGTTTGAATTATAACTTTAATTTTACAAACCACAGGATCATTGTTAGCATTGTTACTGGTAAGTTGTTTCTCTTTCTACTCAGTAAACGCAACAAACTTTCAATTAAGATTAGCATAACGTGGTTTTGATGTTTTAAAGAAGTTTCGTATGTATTTACTACTTACTTACAGATGACTGAAAGTAGTTAATGGCTTTCAACTAAATAAATAATCGCCAATCGTCATAAAATAACCCTAAAATAGTCTACAGACACCTAGCCATCGCCTTCCTTGACACGCAATGTTAGCTGACATAGGATCAGCCTGGAAAAGAGCTAGTGGTGGTCAAACCAAAACATGGCAGAAGTCAATGAGATCTTTGACAGTTTAAGCCACGTAGGAAGGTGTAGACTTCCTGACTGCTTGGGGTCCTCCCACTGGTAAACACCAAAGGCTGAAGACAATTGGTCATATGGCTCAAGATCGTTTTCAATGGCGCAGATGCATTCACTCCTTGTGATTTGTCATATCCAATGAAACTCCATTGTTCTTCCATATTACTGTTCCTTTTGCCTCGCATTTCTGTTTATCATCTCTGTTTTGAATCTCTTTTTACTCTCTTCTCTTGCTTTGTGTGCTACATGGGGTGTGGCAACTCGAACTGCTGTACATCGGTGCAAAGTCAATCAGTCTACAGACATATGCTATTTTACTTCATTAACATTCAGAAAAAACATAAGAAAAGAAAACTAAAGGTTATGGAATAAGATTAAAACTCTACTGCGCGCATTAGACTAGACCTGTTATAAATAACTAAGAAACTAAATTTTGCAAGATATAAAATAATTTAAGAGGATAAAATTTTCATAAGATATTATGCATATGAGTACTGTATTGTTTATTTATTATTTGTTTGCTTGTTTATTATTTTAAAATAATATTGAATTGCGGATAAAATCACCGCCGTAGAAAAAAGAAGAAAGTGTACACATGCTTAAAAAGGAACAAACCTGCCATTCGGTCTAAAATAACAATATAACAGTAATAGTGAAAAGTTATGTCTAACTCTATATGTACTACTGACTAATATGAGTAGTTAGTATCAAAATAATTTAGATTAGTATATTCAAGTGGAGAGAACATTATGCACATGAATTATTTACTTGTTCTACTGTTCTTAAACATGTCAATTGATTCTATAATATTAGTTTCATTAGTATAATGCCTATAAAACGTCGAGTTATCGTTACTAACTAAGAGAATACATTCCATAACATAACATCATACTCAATCGAAAACCCGAATATGATGATGGTCTTCAGATCTCACTATCCAAATGAGACTGACTCAAACACAAACTGTTTAACTTATTCTTTCACATTGACGATAGCAAGAAATTTGTTGAGTTGTAGTCCATTGATTTAGACGCTCAACTTCCATCCAATGATATATAAGAATAAAACTTGTGCACTGTGGTAGAGTGTAATTCCACTATGGGTAAATTTTGTTTTCATAAAGTCTGGCAGTGTTATACAGTAGTGTTTACTGATGACGTTTCGAGCACAATGTATTGCTCATATCGATATGATTCTGAGCAATAAATTGTGCTCGAAACGTCATCAGTAAGCATTACTGTATAACACTGTGAGACTTTATCAAAACAAAATTTATCCATCCAATGACTCACAGGTTCGGATCCCGCTCCGAATACAAAAGTATGGACGGTTAGGTACTATTATTAGTTCTTATATAATTTGTGTACTGCTAGAAGCATGTAAATACATATAGTTGTTGACAAACATTTCTACTTTGCTCCTCTTCAGAAACAAACATCAATTGTTCTGACAAACTAAAACTATCTCAATCTATCCCTTTCTGAGTTTATTCGAATATAATATTGGAGAGCCAAATTCTACATAAGGAAAGAGTAACTCTGATGAATTAAATCAGTTGGACATGAAATGCAGAATCTAGGCAGTTTATTTCTTGTTTTCTACTGGTGTTGACACTTTTTCCCCTTTTAAGAATATAATAACAGAAAGAAAGCTTCGGAGCTACACAAATCGTAAAGTTCACTTAATACTTGATCTTGAAGATGTATAAATCACTTTGATTGGACACTAGTAATTAGTGTGATGTGTCCAGTCCTTTCTTTGGTGCATAGTGAATTCTGTCAGTCAGGTTTACAATGTGGCCACCATTCTAGGTAGCTCGCCATCACGGTGCACTTTGAATTGTTGATGTTAGATGGTTGGAGACAATCGGCAAGACTAGACACATCACACAAGTTACTAGTGTCCAATCAAAATACCCACTACAGTCCTACAGGAGGTCAATCGCGAGCCCGAATAGCTCAGTGATAACGTCTCTGACTCCAGCACTGGGTAATGCGGGTTCGAGTCTCAGAAGATTGATTTATTGATTTACTTCGGCTATCTCCTACGGGAGGATGAGCCGGATTCATGAACATCTCGAATCATCGCTGCCCAGGCGCGGCGATCTGATGAAGGGAGTTCATGAAGTTTCATGGGAATTTGGTATGAGTGATGTCCCCAGAATCGCTCAGCCTTTTGTTTGAGAGTGCAGCTCTAGCCTTTACACAACCAAGTGTGACCTACAAGGCAGTAGGAGTGGAGTAGGGAGTCCACTATCCATTGGCAGCCGGTGACCGGAGTTCGGTTCATACGCCTTTTTGAATGGAGCCAGACATCCAGGACATGGAACAAGCCCTTTGTCCATACGTCTGCCGGTGAGCTCCAGTGAGCTTCATACGCCAGTCGTTGGAGATTTGGGATCAGGGTTTAGCCATCTCCCCTAGACTGTCATCCAATGGACAGTCTCAGAAGCGACATGAGTTCCTTCAAGGTTGCAGATACTCCTTGTTGACGAGTGCCAACTAGCGCGAAACCTAGGTTCAAGGCTTCCTCCCGATCGCCTCCAACCGCCTAACATCAACGATGCATAAACCACTTTACAAAAAGCATGAAGCTTCTGATTTACCACTTTAACAATTACAATCTCTATAAAGCCATCAAAGCTTAAACCACTTCATAAATGCCAAGTGTAAGAAGAGATTACCCCAGTAGTCTTTGCATGATACACAAGCATTGTGTAAACTGGTTCTCATCTTAATAAATACACTTATTCACAACTAAGCATGACACTATTAAAACACAGGTGAAACATGTGCAGTTCAGGGATTTAGTATGTATTTATGTGATTTTTCTTTTCACTTCACATGTCAGTTAATAGCTTTCCGAAATTAATTAAAACTATACCGTTGGCTAGGGACACTGACTCATAGAACTATTGGTATATGATCCCATGTTAAAAGAACTATAAATTATTAGAGAAGTAAACTGGGTAAAGCAAAACCTATACATCAATAACATTTCACTATAATCCAATCAAAGCATAAACTGATAAATATATACATTGCATTTCCCACTCTTGGCAGTTTATAGATGAACTCTGAATTCAATCAGCAGAGTAATTCAAAGTTAAAAAAAGGAAACAATTGTGCTCACCTCATATGGTCAACTACACGACTGACAGTAGACTCAGGCCAAATAGTAGATGTATTCAACTCAATATTAGCTCTACGCACCACTTCCGGTAGACCTAAATGCCCAGTAAGAAAACAGTCTGGTCCAGGTGCAGGTTCATCTCGAATGCCAATAAATTTGTCTGATGATGTCCTATTGCCTGGGAAATAATCACCAGAAGGACCAATATTATTACCATCAGATGCTTTAGTCATCTTTTTCCTTTTTATACGAGAACGACTGACATTGTGATCATGATTATTCATTGATGATTTATTATGTAGAATTTTATGAGGTTTCGCTATACTAACAACACCCATTACTTGATCGGACTCATCATCTAAACCAGCTAGAATGGCTGATTTATGTTGAGATTGTAAATTCTTTTGAAGAGAGCTTGAAGTGCGTAGATCTCGATTAATCTCTAAATCTGATTTACACAATACATGCGATTGATTAGTAGCAGTAACAGTATCAGTGTTAACACTTTTCGTTGTTGTACTGAGTCCATTAAGTTTTACTGGAATACTTCCTTTGAAATTTGAATCTTTAACTGATGAAGGTCCAAACGGAAATAAACCAGCTGTGAATGAATAAAATATTATTAGGAATAAATAATATTCACCATATGGACAGTTTGTTAAGAAATAAATGAGGTATGTGGGCAACTTTCATCACGAAGCAACATTAAATTATTTCACATTCTAGTACGAAAAACTTTTTCAATAATCCACTATACCATGAAGGTATTCGTGATGAAAACTCCCTTGAGGAATTTTACACCTTAAGCAGTAAATAAAGCGGTTTTTAAAAAAATGATAAAATTATTAGATAACCATTCAAGTTTAATTGAATAAAACTGAAAAGACTTCAAAATTTTGCACATATTTCTGATTCTTAATGTTGGGAAGAAGCAGAAAAAACCAACTCAAGGTAAATAAAAGCTCCTTAACATACACTACACTAAAATTGCGAATGCATTGAATTCAAACATATTGTAATACACTGCTTGTGATCGTATAAAACAATATAACATGCTGACCTATGCAAGTGATAATACAATAATAATTATGCATAATAACAACAAACAACGAAAGTTCACAGGCTGTCCACTAAGTTGGTTTTTTGTATATCCCACTGATCAAAGGAGCTCTAATAGAACTCACTTAGCTAGGTAGGTAAGAGTTTATAGAAAGTTATCAGCTTAACTGATGATGATAATCAATGGTGTTTCGTCAGAGATGCTCAGTCTCCAGTCATCTTTACTCTGACTGGCTGTTGTCATCAAGTTTTTCATTGATTTGTATACTAGCACTCTACAACCATTTAGTTAATTTAATAGTTTGTGGAGTAAAACTTCAATATTATTTGTACATTATTATTCATAGATAGCTCGACTATTGCTAGTCCCAGTTGATTCTTCTTGGTAACTAATCACGCGATTTTCTCCAGGAAAGCTCCACATACTTGGAATGCTATAAAATCTAAAAAGCCAGAAACTAGACTAGACTGAAGTAGTAATTGCCATGATCGGTCAAAAGTTCAGAACAGCATAATTAATTATTTAAAATAATAACAGGAAACAATGTTCCACTATTCATATTCCACTCCTTCAATGTACCAAAGATGTAATCTGCATCCTAATCTTGAATTTGCGTATGACTAATACCACATAAAAATTAGTCACTTGCTGAATCGACGCTGGCGTGACACATCTCATAGAACGAAATAGATGTATTCACAGAATGAACATACGACAATACTGTTCAATGGAAACTAGTGTTCTCCTTCGTATCGATTAATAAAGCAGACATTTTGTCTAAAGAAGTGTGCACACTGAGACTTAGAAGCTACCTTTATGTGTGTGAAGACTAGTTAGTGGCAACTTCAGAAAATATCCCAATTAACTTTGTTAAGTCAACTGGAGAGTAAACCTAGAGAGCCTCCTTAATGTGTAGCAACAATTTTCCTTTTCACTATAGACAGTTACATTTGGGAAGAAAACACCAGCTAGACAGTCTTGCAACTACCGATAGGTGTAAATAAACCAATTTTAAAGTGGTAAACAAGTTGAATTTTGAATTTTTTTTAAAAAAAAAACAGAAAAAAATGTAGACATTGTCATTTACACAAAGCTTACCTTGTAGTCTTGCTTCTAAAGAAGCTTCGGATTTGTGATTTCGTGATCCTACAACATTTAAATTCGACTCACTCAACCCATTTTCCAGTGGTATATGCAGTGGACAGTAAAATGAAGCTAAAATAGGAGGAAAAAGTGTGGATTATTAAATGTTAACTATTGAATACGTTTCATATATTTTAGAGTGTACATTACTCAAACTGAAAAGATGAGAATACAACCCTATCAAATAATACAGCAGTTAATTAATATATCAATTTATATATATATATCAACACAAAATGTGCTCTTAAGACAACCAGCTAACACCAGAAAACTTGTCATTTCAGTAACCTATTCATCAGAATTTAGTACATAAAATGAAAAACCTTTAAAAAGAAGCTGTGTTGCGTATATTAATTTCCATCATCCAGAATTATACCCACAATTCATGTGGACGAGTAAAATGTACAGTTTCTTTAGAATCACACTACTTGCCTCGCTAGATTTTTAAAATTCTACTTAGACTAAATTACAAAGAAAGCCAGCTGGCTATTAACTGGTGAATAGTAAGATTATCTAGGAGAGGATTGAAATAAGAGACTGAAATTGATGTAACCGGTCGCGATTGGAGGCCGGTACAAACTGTGACGATACGTTAGAAATTCAGACTACTAGTTCAGTCGACGTTCTCATCCAAACTGCAATCATTACACATAATATTAAGAGGAGTCTGTTATCCAAGAGAGTCCTAGCAACAATAAAAATCTACTCATATGCATATTTATAAGTGAGAATTATCACCCACGGGAATAAGTGAATTAATTTGATTTTGATCCATTCACTTATAACTTGGTTTATTTATATGCATTAGTAAGCACAAGAGTGCCCAAGTGGGGTTTATATTCTAAATGACAGTTGAAAATATCTACGGTAAAAAGAGAAATTAAAGTTAAGAATGCTAAGTAAAATAAATTTTAAAGTAATCATATTTTCGGCATAGCGTAAAGCTTACAAAGTTTTATTTTATGCTTACATTTCTTAATACGTTTCATCATGGGAATGACGGATTTTCCTTTAATTAGTGTTGCCTGAAATAGTCTCTCCAAAGGTGATGTCATGAAATAGGTTACTAGACATAATTTGTGGTTAATTTCCTAGAGTACTCTAAAGACAGTTAGTAGTATACGTACACCGCACAAAATTATCCAGAGCACATAAGACCAAAAAGTTGTGCCTTCTACTAATGGTGGTAACTACCAGGGAAACACGTTATCCTGTATTTAAACGAGTAATGGAGATCCTAGTGAAACTCAAGCCAGGGTTCTATTGTTTCACATGCTAAAGTGTTATCCACTAGGCTACTGCTGAGACTTAATATAATTAACTGCTGTGTAGTGAACATCAGTTGTCTTGAATTAGGACCAAATGCACATCCTGCATTCATTACTAGGTATCATCCAGCATTTAGTTTGAAATAACAGACGTGAAAACCACACTGTTTTGTCTTGAAGTTGTTTGTCATTGTTAGTTATTTGATGGTGTTCAATAATTTCGAAAACACTCGATGTGGCTTCTTCTAAGATTTGTAAACTTTTACAGTCAACTTAGAGACCATATTCGTCAACGCTTATTGTAATACACAATTTCATATCATGATATTCTCAAAAGGAATTATATGCTACATCAACAACAAAAATAAATCATTTCTGCTGGCGGAGGATGTATCCACTCTTTATTTAGTGTGCATATTGGAAAAAAATTCCTTCTTAACAAAAATAAAACTGTAAAACACAAAGAAATCCATGATACACATTACAAACAGGTATGCACCTTTTTCATTTGTTTTCCTTGAATTGACACATTTAGCCGAATCTTTGGTCAAAGGAATATCACACGTAGAACATCGTAAACAATCCTTATGAATGTAATAACCGGACAATTTTACACGTTCCAACTGGTACAAGCGTTTTTGGCAGATATAACAGTATGAACTACCCTTACGTGGAGCAAATAAACGAGCCACATTTTCGGGTATTCGAACAGGCTGTTAAAATCAAAACAAATGAATCAATAAGGTTTATTTTTATGATATTATAGTATAAAAATTTTAAAAAATAATAATGATGAAAACAGTTCAAATTGACTAACTAACAGTTATTCAACATTTTAATGATGCAATTTTTTTAAAATCGACTTTTTTTATATAAACTAACATAAACCTGAATACAATCTGATAAGTTCAACAAATTTAATGCATTCAACTATATCATTCTAAATAGGATTGATTATTGAAGAGACAGAAATAATGGATGTTTAGCAGTTTCATTTCTTAACTATCCATCATGTGAAAGATGGGAGATTAAACACATGACAGTTCATACATCAATTAAAATGAAGTTGATGTAATTTAATTTGGAAACGAGCCAATCAGATAGGTGGAAGCATTGAAATAGGTGGAAATGTTCCAGTTCTCAGCATTCCTTTACTCACTACTTGGTTTAGAGGAAGAAATATCGATATATTATTGATCATTCTACATGAGTAACACGGGCTTGCATTTTCTGTAAGCAGATGGAAGATAATCGTAATCGAAACAAAAACCTGAGTGAAGGTATAAGACCAACACCCTAACCCAGGAGGGTCTAACTTCTCCCTTCAATATATATATACTGCCAGTTCAAAAAAGTTCACAGAATGTAAACATAGTATATGTGTTGAACTTTATACACCCTGAGAAGCATACACCATCTAACAGAAGTATTATACAGTGTGATTCAAGGTGGAGTAAACTGAGTGGCTAGTTGATATGATGCTACTCCAAATTGAAGAGCTTTTTGAGGAGACAATGACTAAACAAATAGCACAGTTAGATTTATTTTCCAGTCTAACACAGCCAACTAGTGTATTTGTGATACTTCTAATGTCGTCCCTTAATACTAAATAACAGTCTTAATAGAATTAGCTCAAAACAAAAGACACTGATTTAACTCGTCGGAACATGTTCAAAAGTAATCGAAATGAAGACAGAGAATGCTATAAATAATGCAATAATGCATTAAAGTCATGCTATAAGTGTGTGCATGTGAGAGGATATCGACAGTGTTTAGTTGTCTGGATTGAAGTAAGTCACACTCATAGGTTCAAAGTTAAGTATTTATTATATTCACCTTCACGCTCTCTGTCTTGTAAATCGTGCTGAAACTTGATCAAACAGATGCTTCACATATGATCCTTACTACACTGCATACTGAAGAGCTTTAAAGTTTTTTCCACATGTTATTAAGCTATTCAAATAAATCTGGGTAATTGTGTCCTGTTTCTAGTTCATCGGTGATAATAGATAAAATACTGGATACCTTTAAAGAAAAAATTTGTGATGAGAAAACACATGTATAAACTACTGGGTTTATTTAATTGTCCGCAGGTGATAAGATGTACAGTACAAAAGAATGATGACAACGAATGTAAAGTAAAATTACAAGTGAGGTTGTTAAGCAAATAATTAACCATCTGACTAAAGTGTACAAGTTGGTGTGCAGGTGTATTTGTCGATGTGTTTTGCCGCCTACCAAGCTATTAGGTATAAGTGTATGGTCGAAAGTTAGGAAACATTCGAAAACCACATGATAACTAGTAGCTAAAATCGGTATACGAAATATACCCTACGGTGAAGTGAGATGGGGTAGTTTGATGCATCAAAATATCATACCGTAGCCACAATATAAATATAGCTAATTAATTAAAGGAGATTAAATGTTCAAATAGATCCTGATATTGTATTTGGATACAAATTTTGAAAGCATGCTGTTCAACTTAAGAGATAGATAACACATATTTTTCTTTCGTTTTCAGTTAACACTATTAGGTTGAGGTTTCGTTACTAGGTTTTCATTGTCTTTTTAAACAATATTTGAGCTTTTGTCAGCTATGAGATCAATAAAATGATCAGTACCAATACAAATTAAAAATAGGATAAGAAATATTCCGGAGATAACCAGTCACGTTGAAGTTCACCAGGAGAGACAGTCATCGTGTTTATGGAGAATTCTACTTCATCTTGAAGTTAGCACTGATAATGTTTAGCAAGACAATGAAAGCCTAGCAACTAAACCATTGAGTTTCAGGGAAAACAAAAACATGAAAGTCATTTGCCTCAGATTCAAATCTTTTCCATCATTTCAGAATACTATACATCTGCATATGTGATTATTTTTCAAAATAACAAGTAGCTCACAACACACGTCCTTTGTCGACCAAAGGGGGTGTATACTGCCCTGAAGTTCACTCCGTCCTCCTTTATGGCTGTAAGTGAGACCTGGCCATTGAAAGTGGAGGACATGAAAAGGCTAGCTGTCTTTGATCATAGGTGCCTGCGTTCTATCTCCCGTGTTAGGTGGTATAATAGGGTGAGCAATATTAAGGCTAGGCGTCGAGTGTTAGGTGAGACGGGAAAATCAATCGACGAGGCTGAGAAGTTACATCGATTGAGATGGTTAGGACATAAGTTACGTATGCCTAGCCATCGCCTTCCTCGACGGGCGACCTAAGCTGACATAGGATGGATCAGGCTGGAAAAGAGCTAGTAGTGCTCAACCCAAACACGGCATCAATCAATGAAATCCAAAAGTTAGTTTAAGCTAGCCACTTAAGGAACAAACCAAGCAAGAGGCGATCGCTCAACAAATATGTAGGAGAAAGTGGAGGTGGATCGGACACACGTTGAAGAAGCCGCCGAATGACATCGCATGCCAGGTCATTGCTTGAATGAAATCCAAATGGGAAGCGACGAGTGGGTCGTTAGTGCGGGGGTGATATGGAGGAGATCATGTGAGGAAGAGATGAGAGAGTTTGGTCAATCGTGGACCTAGCTGAAGAAGATGGTAGAAAATAGAAGAAAGTGGAGATGTGGGAACAATAATAATACGTAAGGAGATGTAGCCTTCCTTACTGCTTGGGGTCCTCGCAATGGTAAACACTAAAGGCTGAAGACAATTGTTGATATGACTCAAGATCGTTCTCAGTAGCGCAGATGCATTCACTCCTTGTGATTTGTCATATCCGATAAAACTCCATTGTTCTTCCATATTACTGTTCCTTTTGCCTCGCATCTCTGTTTACTCAATTCTCTCGCTTTGTGTGCTACATGGGGTGTGGCGATTCGAACTGCTGTACATCGGTGGAAAGTTCTGCGTTGAAGCCAGTCTACCAGTTACAACAAGTAAGTTCTCCTAGATGACCCAGAGGTAAATGAACCTATGTACAAGAAACATAAATACCAGCCACTGTGTGTACTCATATTACTGGCGATGAGCCAATTGTCTATTTTGTGAGGAATGACTGCATACCTTCAGATGAAGCTGGGTTGAAAATATCAACTCACTGGTTACCTGAGTGTATTCAGGTAAATTTGCAGTGGTATTATTTAACTTATTGTTTTTTTTTCTTGCTGTTTCACCTCCCCCACTTTTTCGTTATATTTGATAAACAAAATAACGTAGCAGACACTGTTATCATTTCAGATTAACGCCCCCATGCATGTCAGCGATCGCAGTGACACCTGTGAGTTCCTCTTTGTATCAGTTACCCTTTTGTTAAAATTAATTAGTCGTTTGAGCCGCAGCTTGTCAGCCTGTAGTAGAATGTATGTCACAGGTATGTACCAATTAATGCATGTTGACCCACAAGTTTACTAAGCAAAACCGACCAATCAGATAACTCCGTTATTTTGTAATACACCTATGACTCATACAAAAATTTACTGTGCTTGTCATTGTCAAGGTGACCGTAAAGAAAGGAAAGTCGTTGATTGACAAGTAGCTTTTTTGACTAAGGGTTTTTTTTTAAAAACACAACTGTTTAATTATATTCAGCCTTATCACTTTGGAAGTAATATTAATACACGAGCCTATAACACTTCATTAGGGGATTTCAACTGATCACATTGATTGTTAACAAAAATATCGACAGATATTCAACGTATGGATTGTATTGTAAAACCAATTCACAAGTTTTTGTTTGGAAACCGTCAAAATATGAACTATTCGTCTGTAGAACAAGGTGAATGCATTCATATATGAGATGTAGATTTCAATTATGCGTCGGTTGATGAAATCACAGAATGCATCCTTTTTGTCGGTGATATGCAGTAAAAAGAGAAACTGATTGTTTAAAGAAACAAAAAAGACATATTTAGTGATAACAATTCATCACCTAATATAGATGGAGAAAAGAGTTAAGAATTTTCACTACACAACAAACCAGTAGAAAGTATTGATAAATATCGTTTTAGAATATATGCAGAATAATTAAGACACTACAACGGTAGATAAGAAGATAAAACAAAAGGTTACAAATATTGTCACCATGATAATTATATGTTGAATGATAGGACTTAAGAATGATGAGCTCGTAAAGTTCACTTATACTGTATCAAGCACCAGTGCTAGATAATATGTACATCCATTTACGCAAGCATATGTGGCTGACATCCTACACAAATTATGTACATGAGAAATAATAAGTACAACTTCTAACTATTCAATGTTAAATGCTATTATTCAGCCACTTGGTTTTAAACGATTCGGGGAGAATTCTCAAATCCCCAGCTTTAACTGCACTACGATCTATTAACATATGTAGTTTCGTGTTGCTGGTGTTTATTTATTATTCCCTTGTATTTCGAGTGGAACATAGGGCTTCAACAACACACCTCCACTTTCTTCTACTTTCTGCCATCTTCTTCAGCTGGGTCCATGATTGACCATAATCTCCTATTTCTTCCTCGTACGATCTCCTATATGTCACCCTCGCACCAACGACCCACTTGTCGCTCCTCACTTGGATTCCACTTGAGCCCTGACCTGGCACGCGATGTCATTCGATGGCTTCCTCAATGTATGCCCGATCCATCTCCACTTTCTCCTACATATTTGTTGAGCGATCGCCTCTTGCATGTTGGTTTGTTCCCAGCCAGAGTTTCTTGTTGCTTATTCTTTCTGGCCATTTGATCTTTAGTATGGAGTGAAGGCAGCTGTTGATGAAAGTCTGCAAGCTGTTGAAAATTCTTTTTGTGACACGCAGTGCAAGTTTCTGACCCGTATAGAACGACCGAGTTGACACTGGTGTTGAAAATCCGGATCTTGTTTTTTTATGTTGAGTAAAACAAATTTCCAAACTGATTTCAGAGTGATGAAGGTATGTCTTGCATTCCCGATTTTGGCTTTGACATTCTCATCCGTTCCACCTCAGTTCAATCTCTCCCGTTGGTGGTGATTGTTGTTGATGCTTTTGGTTGGTTATCTTCATCACCCCAGTCTTCTCTGTGTTCACCTGCAGTCGTGTTTTCGCTACCTCTTCAGCCATGACACAATGTACAAGACTCAACAGGTTATTGAATTGAAGACACGTGAGTGGTATACAACTACTCATCTCAATCAACCAGTGGTATAAACTTTAAAGAATTTTGTCTGTTTATTGACACATAATCTGACTATTGCATTAATTGTGTTCTCTGAGCTGGTTGATTTCATTGAGAAGCTTTCGTTGTCACTCTTTTTAGAGAACATCTTCAGCGCACATTTTAGTATAAAATGAACTCGCTTAAATTCTCGATGAATGACGTAATTGTATCTCCTGGCAACCACTGCCGTGACTGGTTGTTAATTTACATCTATGTTGATCATTTTCATTGACTTACTTGGAATTCGAACTTCTTTCTTATCATTTGATTTACTTTTTATTAGCTGGTAAATTTGGTCTATAATAATGTGTTTGTTAATTGCTAATTCACTTGAGTACCAGGCTTCTAGGAATTCCCTGGCAGTATTTTTGGTGTTTCCTCTATTTAAAATTTCTACATTATCACAATCAAATTGGTGTCCATAATTATCCACATGCAGACTTTAGTTTTTGATAGTGGCTAACCGTGGGATCCAAGCACGTTAACAATCATAAAAAAAAAAACCGAGGCATTCGTTCAAAGAAAAGCCAAGGAATTCACTTTGAATGTCACCATGTTGGAACTACGAGTACACATAAAGTATAACATTAGCTCAAACATTCAGGAATTATTATGAGATTTCAAGGATTAAATCAGTGATAATCTTCTTGTTAAACTTCATGAAAGTTTACTACGGAACAAAGACAAATCGAACCGGTGAGTGAAACAGAAATCCCCCAATACAAGCCTCTCTATCTTCCACAAGAGTCCACAAACTGGAAGTGATCACAAATAGAAAAATAAAATATCATATTTATTTTTTATTTTATTATAGCTTGATTCCACACAGTATTTTGGTACAAGTATGAAATTTTCAGCATGGATATGGGTAGCCCAAATTTAGCAGGCCGACCATAGATATCAGGTGTGCGTCGGCGAGGGATCGAACCTCGAACCATGTGCATGGTCGGCGAGAGTCCTAACCGCTGTGCCACCGACGCACAAGAAATGCTATATAGACACATAATCGAAAACCTTCAGCTTCCAAAAGTCTGTGCACTTAAATACAGAAGGTAGTAGTGAGGTAAATCAAACAGTTGACCGGGTGAAAATCACTGATGAGCTTATCATCGATTAACTTATCTCAACATTTCAGAGCCTGCCTTGCATGCACACAATATGAATTGTATCTTATAACAATAGGGAAAAAAACACCGATAGTAAAGGTAAGAATTTAAAATCCATTCTATGTGTGAACCAGTTTTCAAGACAAAAATAAATCCTATGCGCGCATATCCAAAGGACGATAAGTATTAAAATACTCAAAACAGCACTGGATTATTTATTCATCATTATTGACAATCACGTGTTTGCACAATTCTGCAGTCTTAACCACAGAATCTTACGTCTATCTGTGTGAAACAACATACATAAACTCTGACAACAAAAGGTAGTCACACACACACACAGTGTTTTACCTTGTTTCACTACTTCCATTTAAAGTACACGCAGGAAAACACAAACAACAAGAATACTCTCTTCTTCATCAAACGAACTGAATAATAGACACGGAAGAAAAGAAAAGAACGATGATAGAAAAACAGAGAATGTTAAGGTATTTAAGACGACTTAGGAAGAACAAGGAAAAACTGAATGCATCTGCATCATTAGGACAGTTGTGTTTTTTTTAAGCTGTCAAATATTACCATCAAGGCACAGAGTTCTGTCATAGAGCAGACTGCCGTCTGTTAGAACAAAAATATGTAAGAATGGAAATTGGTGTAAATAAAAAGAACAGTCCAATTTGATGGAATATTACTTATGTCAAGTAATAAAATTTACACAAATAGTTATGTTATTAGCTAACACATGTACCCATTCCATCTATCTTTTTCATATAATGCGCTTGTCTTCTGACTTTTAACAAAAGTTGTTTCAAAACACAAAACTCAAGATTATGCAATTGCATAAACCATGTTTCTTATTCTTCTAGCTGTAAACAAGATTCGTGTGTATTTCTATATCTTGTTGTGTATACTGTGAGCATTAGTTATTCACATGTGTACGTGTATTATTTGTTGACTTAAGAAAAAACTTGGAAAGAATTCCTTATGTCTCAACTTTATTCATCTCCATTCCGTTGATAAATCAATCATACGCTTAGGAAATGTAAATGACATTCGACAATGTGATGCATGAAAAGTAAGGAAAGCTAAATTCATAGTTGTCATTACAACAAAGTCAGTAATATGCGGATCAATGTAATTCATGATTTATCACCGCTAAAAAACGGGACAGAATTCCACTGCTAAAAGCAACTATTTCTTCTTGCACTTCTCCATATAGCCTAAACTCTGTTGGCACCATGAGGCTCAAACAGAGGTGCTTAAAACAAAAGATGATATAGAGCCGCGTTACTTGAATTTCACTTACCACTTATACGTCACATCTACCGAAAAGCAGAAAGAGAGAGAAAACAGACAACTGGCCTTCAATAAACGCCCGAACATATCGATCCAGAAACAGAGTAGACTGATGAAGATTTTTCCAAGTATTAGGCAATAAGAGAAAGTGAATTTTGTCATTCTACTTCTGTAACTTCACAGAAAAGATAGATCTGAAAAATGTCTAGCAAGTACAAGAGGAGGACAACAACTAATAAATAAAGAAGACCGACTGAACAGTATGGTGTCAGCTACTTATAAAACGTATATAAGTAGTAAACGAAGCAACGTTTTCAGGATAATAATTTATGTGTTATTGGAAGAGCCTCTGAAGAGGAAACACAACAAGAAGGTTAAAAAATTCTGACGAGAATCGAATGAGCACGAGGTAAGCATAAAACTCAAAGGATTATGTTACTTGGAAATAGGGAAATCAACTTAAGGTTAATCATACATACTGTTAGTATCTGTTGTACTTTATCCGAATAAACATTATATCTGCTTTCGCTAGTTCTGTTCTCTTTAGTAGTAATATTAGTTCTAATATACCTTCTACGAAATAAATCAGTTAATTTATTTGCTAATTATTTATAATCGGATTAAATAGTTTTGACAACTGTCGATTCGTTTATTCATTGTGAAATTTAAAACTGTGAACTTCACGAATTCGACTGTAACATAGAATAAAACAAAGAAGTCACGAAGAATACTAATTTAAAGATAATAATGGTGTTTTTGTAGGATGCTGAGTGTGGAATAAGGTAACCGCCGCCGAAACAGAGTATCACTAATGAAAACAGACAGGGAATTTAAAGGAAAGCAAAGAGATCACTTCTGTTTTTTTTTTCAATTTATAAAAGAGCGGACAAGAGACCAACAGGAATAAGAAAATAACTAGAAAAGGAAAGAGAGAAGACAACATACTTCAAGGGAAAACAAATGAAGCTTACGAAATTTATTTTTAAAAAGTTTAGAAAAAAATACAGTACACATTACACTGTGTTTTTATTTCGGAACATCATCGATGCAAAGATGCCTTAATCACATCACAAAATATTTTTCTATCAGATAAGAGATTTCGGTCAAGTTGAGTTGTTGTCACACAACTAGACGTTTTTCAAGTAACGTTTCCTTGAGTGTAGTTTTTTCGCAGGCCAATTAGAAGATAACTATCAAACTGGAAGTGTTTTCCAAGTTCGAATCACCTGAAGGCGAACTTTCAACAACATTCTAATGGTCGTCTTAAATTTACAATGCACACGGTAGATTATATAATAAGGGAAGGGAAATAATAAATGACTTGACCAACTGGTATAAAGATGCTTTGCCGCTGTTAAATGAAAAAATTTACTCTGATGTGTAAAGTGAAATTGAAATGATGATGGGAATCACGTGACAAAATTCAAGTCAGCAGCATCTCGGGGTCGCTTATACCGAAATCAAAACTTAAGGCGGTAATCAAGTAACACACATATACATACACAAAGAACTTGAATAACTTACAGAAGGTGAGTTCTTTGTTGCATGTTCTATTCGTATTGGACGGCGTTGTTGTTGCTGCTGTTGTTGGAATTGTTTTTGTAGCACAGATTGACACTGTTCAGTCCTCTTAGTTAACAGTCTAAGCTCCTTATCTGGAACTGCAAATTTCATTCCTAATGATGATGGACGATGTTTAGTGGAAGAAGAATGACCACTCTGTGTAACAGAATATGAAAAAAAAGCAAAAAGACAAGAAAACAATTCAAAACTAGGACAATAAATACTAATACACAGACATACAATAACAGGAGATAAGTTGGAATCGTGTTATATCAGTTTTGCAGCAAACAAAGAAACAAGAATGTTGCGGTTTGCATTGAGCAAAAAGCTAATTAATAAAGAAATTAGTTGACTACTAAATCAGATAAAAAAGAATATATATATATATATATATTCACGTATTTTTAAATATTGCATCTCGTCAATGCATAATATTCCATTGGTTTATCCCACTTTTTATGGATAAAATTATTATTGATCATTATTTTTAAATAATATTAGAATTATTTCTTTTAACTACTTTCTCATTTGTACAACTTGATAAACGTAAAGTATAACCCATGTGGGCGGCTATGCGCGCTACACATTTGTACAATGTCCAATAACTATAGCTCAAGACACAAGAGCATAGTAGCCTATAAGTCTAGCTCAACTTTAATGACCAAGTGAATGGGATTTTTTTCACTGTCATTGAACTCTACTTGCTACTTCGTTTGATGAAATAATCATCATTTCTACTTTCGCTTCACACTTATCTTAAACATGTTCACACTGTTCATTGACGGTTGGATGTTGACTTCAACACTCAATGATACAGGTATGTATCTCGTAGTGAAGATAAGTTTCCTCAGGGTTAAAGATTGTTTGTATCGAAGAGAGTCAACTAGCAGAAATGCGAGGTATATTGGGAATGACAGATTTTGTTTGAATTCTATGACGATGTTGCTTTGTAGTGGATTATTAACGAAATTCCAAACATATTTAGTCATGAAGACTTAGTCCAAAGAAGGGAAATGTCAGTAAACGTTAAAATAATAATGATAATAATTCATCAGTAAATTTCATATATTACAACAGAACCTGTCTACGTTTGAAACGCAAAAATAAATTGACCGCTGACTTCTTCAATTTGTTTAATAGCACATCAACTTGGGAAAACAACAGTGTTTGTTTAATCTGTTTATTATAGAATTAGGACGACACTGATATTATATATATATATATATACAATAGAAATATTTTGACAATTCTTTCACTGTCTGCATAAACCATTTGTCATGAATTATACACGGGGAAAAAATCGATAATGAAAAAGTATGCATTCACACGTGGCCTACACTTAAACAGAACAAAGCTGTTTTTAATTTTATTTTCCTGAACATAATTTCAGGCGAATACGGCCGCACACATACACGCGCATGAAATAAAAAAGACAACACTGATAGTTTAATAAAAGTTTAGTATAAATTTGGTGCATATTTAGTAAAGTATGGTAGACCTTACCCCAACCCCATAAATTGTTAGTGTTACTTACACAGCAGGAATATCAGTGTGCCTGTGTCTATCTGCCTATATGGTTACAGGAAAGTGATTCTTAATCCGCCCTCCCCCACTATCAACCTACCCACCTTTTTACTATACCTTACGCTATCGATAAGTGAGGAGAGATAAAAAAAAAGATTATTAATATATTTCAAAGTAGGTGATAAATATTGATGAAGTATGTAAAACAAAAAGCATACAGACAATCTGATTTCTATAAGAGATAAGTTTATCTGATATAATGCACAGTTATACAGTATTAGTATTAATGACTGAAGAAAGTTTTGAGTGCAATTTATTACTCATAATCATATCAGTGTAATGCACAATTAATGCAATTTTCTTTATGTCAATGATAGGCATTTTATCATTTTGACTGTACATGTTTGACGTTAATTCAATGAACAAGGATTCGGAGATTAACTTCTTTCTCTCTCTCCATCTAACTCGATCACTTTGTAGCCATTTTCCCCTGTCCCACCTTATTGTGTGATTAACATGCAAGTAAATGCATTACAATGGTTGGTTTCTTTTCTAGATTATTTAACTTAGTAGGGTCAATCGTTCTAGCTCTAGCTAAATTTCTTTTCTCTGATAACCTAACTGAACCGGATCTACAAATGTGACCCGTATGATTAATCTCAAAGTCATTACATGGTATTTGATAGATTATATTATTTTCCTTAATAGAACATGTCGGGTCGGTCCTTGAACCAACAAAATTTGTCTCTGAATAAGTTGGATGATTTAAATGTCATCCCAATTGCAGCCTTATTAGGAATCCGATGTAGGAGTTCTGACGTTTCTTCTTTATATAGAAGTAATGTCGAAGCCTTTGAATTCCTTATTATTATTATTATTTATGATTGTAATTACTACTTTTATTTTCCTTATAGGTCTTCCTACATTTTTAAAATAAAATCTGGTAGATAGTTAGTTATTCCCCAGAAGTGTCCTGGCTTTATTTGTTAGTTATGACTTCTTAATGATAAAGTAACAGAATAGGTGTACCATGAAATTGTGAACTTTCAAGTAAGCCCAATTACAAACGTGGCACAGTGGTTAGGATTCTCGCCGACCATGTACATGGTCCGGGGTTCGACCCCCTGCCGACGCACACCCGATATCTATGGTCGGCCTGCAAAATTTGGGCTACCGATATCCATGCTGAAAATTCCATACTTGTACTGAAAATACGGTGTGGAATCAAGCTGCAATCAAAATAAAAATAAATAAATAAATAAACGTTGGTCTGGCACAAAAAAAACTCCATTGAAACCACTACAAAACCTACTGTGTCACCGATTGCCAAAGGAGTTCCATGAAATTTTTTGCAAAAAAATCTTAACGCCTCCCCTTCAAGAAATGGAATAGAGTCATAAACGTCAATCAATCTGCTATATGTATTCCACAATTCCACTCTGACAACTATATAATCTCTTCATAATAAACAAATACCACAGTGTTAAAACTATGATTCTTTGTATACAGTTTAAGTAAAAGTAAGAAGCTTAAGGCGAAGACAGATTAAACCTTGCGTTATTTGTCAATGAATTTCGAAACTGTATACATAACTTCAAATTTGTAAGCATATGATTCCATGTTATCACATATTAAGTAGTGTTTATCTAAATAAACATCATCTCTTTGCTGGACGAATTCACTCCCTGAACTTCTCTACCGCAAAATTAGACAAACACGTAAAAAAAAGCGGTATTAGTTTATGATTGTGTTGTACAGAGAAAAACTACTCCAGGTTTGATGAAGTAAACCAAAAAGAGGAGTAATGGACATTGGCTGATTTTATACAGTTTCTTAAACAGTTATGCAAAATGAATATGCTTCAACTGATCAATAAGGTCATACAGCAGTGTTTTTAGGGGGAAATATTAAATATGAAAAAAAATTATAGGATTTTCATCATGAGCTGACATTAGTTAGAGAACTATTGGAAAACCTGGGAGTACTGGACAGCTGTTTCGTCCTAGTTTGGGACTCTTCATCAGTACGCACCCACCGGGATGTTTATTATTAGCATTAACAACGGCATTATTAATTCGTGCTATTTTGTTTTTCAACATATCCGTATTCATTCACAGAGTGAACATTAAACACATACAAAACGCCAAAGATGCATTTATTCACAACCTAACACACACACACACATACACACACGTATGCACATAATTAGACTATTACTTATAACTCGAGAGGTATTTCGATACAGTAAAAGTTCTAAATGTAGGACAAAAATAATTTATATATTCTCAAATTTGAAAATTATTTGATTGAAAATTTTAACATTAACAGACCATAGATTATAATAATATTGATGAGGTAGATAGATAGAGAGGCAGAGAAACAGAGAGGAGGCAAATGACAGCTAGGAGACAAATAATGACAGCTGATGAAATATGTAGGGATCATTATATTTTCATATCAACTGAAACAACAGACAAAGCACTAAAGTCATTCGAAATGACTATTCACTGTGTATACTAGCACACGACAGGTTAGAAATATACACTTAACGTGGAAAATGACACTCAATCATAAGCAAAACAACAAATTCCAGTTGTTCTCACCTAAATGAAGTATTCCTTCTTTAAAAAAATTAGAACTAGGATGGAGTAAAATGAAAACGAAAAAGTGACACCATTCCAGTTTTTTAATGTCATTACAATAGACATGTTGGTGTTGTAGATTACCATGGTAGTTAGAGATAATACACAAAATGAATGTAAACTTGACTCTAAAATAATGGAGAAGATTTGTAGCTCAGCTGGATGATATTGAATTAGTTGTATTCTCTGAGCTGGTTGATTTAACTGCGAAGCCTTCGTTGCCCTTCTAGACAACATCTTCAGCTCAGTTGATAGGAATGAACTTATTTGCATCCTGGCAATCATTGTCAACATCCAGTCATGACAATGGTCGCCAGGATACACCATTATATCATTCATGGAGAATACAATAAAGTTCATTCCATACTCCAACTTGAGCTGAAGATGTTGTCTAGAAGGACGACGAAAGATTTGCAGTTAAATCAACCAGCTCAGAGAATAAAACTAATTCAAAACATGACTCTATTGTTCCTTTCAAACTTGATTTTCTGCCTTTATTTTGATTAAAGCTAAGTGAAAAGTTTCAGAGTTAATCTACGTAAGTACATGAAAATTGAGAAATAAGAATTATTCAACTGTCACCAATCATGTCTTCTATTCCTGTAGCTGTAAACGACATTCATGTGTATTTCCATATCTATTTGTGTATATTGTTCACTGGTTGTTTACAAGTGGAAGCGTATTTACTTGTTGATTGAAATACAGAGTAGAAAAGATTTCCTCATGCCTTACCTCCATTCTGTTGATGAAGCCACTTTCAAATATGCGACGCTTGATAATGATAAAAATTTAATAATCTGACGCTTGCTTGAGACTGGCTACACGACGAAGTTATGTGGACTTCTAGTGAAAAATAGTGACCAGTGCAGTCCATCTGGTCAGAAGTGAGGAGGAATAGGCACGGATGACATTTCCTGTTGTTCACACTAAAGTCACGATTTGGTAGGAGTTAGAATTCATGCGTCGGATCCTAACAGTTGAACAGTTAAC